CCCCCCCCCCCCCGCCGCCGACGACATTCTACAAATCGAAACTATGTATGCAGGGGGCTCTTTGAGTGTTGTTCGCACGAGACAATACAGTTGTAACTTACTTGTCAACCAAACTCGACCCGCCCGTGAGGGATGATCGTGAGTCGGTCAAGGGTACTCCGGTTTCAGTTAAAGGTTTTTCGGTGATACAAGTCGCTCCCGTGCGCGGGCTACGGCAGCAAGTACGGCCTCCGCGAACGCTCTGATTGACACTATGTACACACAGCAGTCAAGGTTTAGCATTAGGGTTGGGGTCCTTGGTACATTCATGGCATGATGCGTGCACGGGTGCTGGTGCACGGACAATACAACCCAGGCGTGCCCTCGTATTTGTAGTGTGGTGGGCATAGGCGGTCGGTTGGGACGACCGTGGACAGAGGAATCCAACGCAAGGACGGCTTTTTAGTTGCGTGGGTTTTGCCTGCTGCCTGGAGGGTGAGTTCTGCGCACTGCATGCTCTTCAGCGAAGCCACAGAAGTGAGTCATTCAGGCGAGAAGAGTCTACAGTTCGGCCGTGTGAACCGGATCAATTCAACCATCTCCTGTACGCGTGTTCACGAAGTGGGTGCCTTGAGTTAGGGATAGGGCGCGGGCATTTCCCTTGTGGTGTTCGCGGCCAGTCTTGTGGATTACTTTCCCCACTACTGGCGATATTGGTTGCACTGGGCCACTCAAACGAGATGCCCGGGCAATGCAAATTAGTCTCGGCTGCATCGTTTGGGAAACACACTTTTGTAGGCCTGCAGGTCTATACGGGCCTTGGGCACCGAGCGCTGTCAAGCTTGTCGGGTTCAAGAGCAACCGACCGGACGTTATGAAGTTTCCGAACACCCCGTTGGAAACGTGCGGCTCGGGTCGACGCTCATGACGTCGCGGTGGAGGTCGTTGCATTGATGTTGGTTTTGTTGGTTATAACCAGAGCTGCAGGAAAGGAGTCATGCCACCCACATCACTCGCTGCAGGGGAGAACTCTCGGACGCGAAGTTAGGTTTGTCTCCGTAAACAACCCAGTTGCACACAGAAAAAAAATGAAGCCGGTCCGGCCGACACTCGGCATGGTGACGTGCTTGCCCGGTGCCATCGAGATGCTACAAAATTTGGCTCTCCTTAACAACTTACTTTACGGAGCCAACATGACACATACATGGCGAACCCAACGGTACAACCATCGTAAAAACGTAGAAACACCCCTGCTCCCAGACCAACGGGGATACGTACATATCTTCGGCAGCAAAACGCTCCCAGCTACGCAACACCCGAACGCCCCAAATAAAATAAGTCGGGCCAAAGCGATAAAATGCGAGCGACGGCCCGCGGATGTCTATGCATGCAAACACAAGGGTTGAACACGTTCGCTTTGCTAGTATTTTCCTCTTTCTACCGTACACTTCCCGTAGATCAAAAGACTGGATAAAACCTTCAAGTACTTGACTCCACAATTCTTCTATGAGAACCGACAAGAGATACCAGCAAAAACAATACAACAATGCAAGGCGGGAACTTCTTGTTTGCTAAACAACAAGTCTAACTGTGAGCACAATCTCAATCAACAGATTTCACCAGGAGTACGACCCCCCGAACATCATCTCGCGTGTTGGCTCTCCAAGAGGCGATAAAACAGGACATAAGCCGCCGCCCCTCCCACTCGCGACGTGCTCACCGGACTCACTCGTGTGTCGTCGAACGTGTGCCACTCCCCGGCCGTAACTCCGCCATTACCACCATCGCGGGATCTGCTTCGGCAGTGGGCCGTGTAGTGTCCCCCGTGAAGCCCCCCCATGTGGTTGCACACCGCGTAAAGCTCGTACAGCGGGGGGCGTTGTCCGCTATTGCCGCCGCCGCCGCCGCCGCCCGCGCTACCTCGAGACGTGCTCCTCGTGTGACTACTATTGTTCGCGCCGCCACCGCTACTTCCCGATGAAGAAGGGCGCGCGGCCGGAGTGGAGTACGGGAAGAGATCAAGCTCCGACCCGATCGGAAAATCGACCGCCGTCGCTAGCTTGGTTCGGCTGGTGGAGCTGTACTGGAAACGCTTGAGGTGGATGACGAGGATGGGGGGGAAGCGGTGGACGGCCAGACCCTTGGAGCTGCTCCGGCGCTTGCGGCACCGGGTACACACCGGTCGGTTGTCCCCGTCGAGCGTCTCTTCCGTGCTGAAAGCCCGGAGGCAATCTTCCAGGGTGGTTGTGGTGGTGGCGCTCGTGCCTCCGAACGCCGAGCTGCTCTCCCCCCCCCTGCCCCCTGAGCTGTGAGAGCCCCGACTATTCCTCCCGCCGTAGCCCCCCCCCTCGTCTCCGCCCCGCTCTCCTGCTGCCCCAGCTCGGCCACTGCCGCTGGGTAGTGGCACCGAAAGATCGAAGAAAGGGTCGAAACAGAAGCTAACGTTGCCGCAAGTCAGGCAGGAGATGCGGCTCTGCAGCTGGCCGCAAAACATGCCGGTGATGTCACTGTTGTTCCTCGCGCGGTGTTGGGCCCAGGCCCTGTCGGCCTGTTGCTCCGCGGTGAGCCTCGATATTTGTTCGTCCGTGAGCTCTTGGTTGATGGCCGGGGGCGGGGGCGGCGGACCGGAGCGCTGCTGTTGCTGGTGATGGCACCCGCTTGCTCCTGCCCCGCCCTCGACGTGTGGTTGCTGTTGAGGTGATGTCGTTGCCCCTCGTTGATGGCCGTGATGATTTTGCCCACCACTACCACCACCCCCTCGTGTGTTGAGGTCCTCTGCCATCCCGTCCAAGAAGAAACGCAAGAACTCCTGTGTTCGTGTCGGTTCAGCGAGCAAATACACGGCGCTGCAACGGGTTATCGTTTGGCTCGGGAAAGAGTAGAACAGTGGTGTAACAGTGGCAAAAAGCTCGAACCGCGCAAACCGGTGTATTGTCATGTGTGTGGCTAGTGTATATTTTAGGTTTGTTAGGTACGTGCTTCCAAAATGAACAAAATGTGTTGGTACGTACCGCAATTTCCGCGGCCACGCCTTGCCACACTCTGAAACCGCTACCTATTAAAGGTGGTGCTTGACTACGATCCTCGACGGTCCCACGCATTGGGCTTTAAGCCAGTTCGGTTGATTTTGTCCGACCTTGGGGCCAACTAGAGAAGCCAAAAAGGGGACGCAACACACCTGACAATCTTGTTGCCCGTACCCGGCGAGGTGCGGTGCGTACTTACCGATCAGTCGTTTCACCTGCACGTGATCGTTGAGCAAACGGGGAGGGAAGAGATGGGGTACTGTTATCGTCCATGGCATGGTACGAAAATCGTGCTTGTTAGAAAGAGAGTCAGTTTCGAAACCTTGTTCGTATTGTAGGTTGTGAACACAGAATCTACGTTCCGACGGGTTCAACTGAATATCTGCGTCAGGGCGAACCATTGAATAAAACGTATTGTATGGTCACGTGTTCAAGCGTTACGTACGCAGCAGGATGTACTCCTCAGCACCACTCTTTGAGCCTAATAGCCCGAGGGACTTTCAAACGCAGCACACAAGAGCGATGGACGACAGAGGACAGGCTGCTAAATGGCCGACAGTAATTTCTCGGAGTTCGGAGGGGCAAAACGTTGGTTTGGAGCACAGGCAGATACATACGGGTTGCCCTGGGTTGAAGCGATTGTATACAAAAGCCCATCGTCACTGTAGCACTTCATGTGATAAGATTCCGACCTGCGCGGGAGATACGTTGGAGTGGGCAGGTGATGCCTCCACCATGGCTACCAACTCCCCGAACGCCTGCGCAAGAGCTCCGTGGGTCGGGCTTGTGGTGCTGTGGCTGCGGAGACGCTGCTCGCGGTGCCCATGTCTGCCTCTAAATAGGTCGACGAGGGCGTCAGTATGCAGCAAGCACTGTAGGCACGCGTTCATGAAGCACGTATTACCGAGGTTTTGCAGGCCGACCAGGCAGTCCCTGTTGCCGCTCCTGCTGCTGCTGCTGCTACTACTGTTGCGCGCGGCCCGTCCTGCTGCTTCTGAATCACTCTGGAGACTACCACTGGCTCGTCTTCTAGAGGTGACGACGTCGCCACCGCTGTTATTGCCGTTGCCGCCGGGCACGACCCGCCCCCCGGAGACATGCCCAGAGGGATCCACCCGGCTACCCCCAGACGACCTCGATGCACCGACGTAGGCATGCTCCTTGTCGCCGGGTTCATCTCTGTCGCTGTTGTTGTTTCTGCCTCTTCTATGGCTGCCGGTGTTGTCGCGGTCGTCGTCGTCCTCGTTTCTATTGTTGCTGAATTGTCCCCCCGTTTCCTTTCCAGGAAGGAGCCCTTCCCCTATCCTACTCCTCCCCTCCGCATGCGCCCCCCCACCATGGCTGCTACCGCCTGGTGGGTCTAGATCTCGCCCGTGTCTGGCCGATGACGGTGTACAACCTGGGTCTCCGCGGCCACCGGATCCCTCTCCACCTCCTTGTCGTCCACCTTCCGGTTTATCCTCGGCTGGATTGTTGCTGATTTCCAGGCCGTCTATGGAAGGCAAGCAACGTTCGCCCTCCGTGGATGCCGAGGTCGACGATGCCATCGACGGGGACGCCCTCACGCTCCCCCTGGCGCCTAGCCCGGCACCCCCGCTCCTGCCCCCGTCGTGATGACGGTAGCCGTCCCGGTGTCCACCGCCGCCGCCGCCGCCGCCGCCGCCTATTCTACTGCCGGACGACCGGCGACTGCTGTCTTCGTTTTCGTCTTCGTGGTCACCTCTTCGGTTCGTCTGCCCCCCGCGGGAACCGTGTCGCCGATGAGGTACTACCGCGTCGCCGTGCTGAAAGCCCGGTTCCAGGTATTGGCTACCAGAAGGGCAGGAGACCGCACGGGCGGAGGAGGACGGGAGTCTCCGCGGTGTAGCATCTGAGGGCACTGGATCCTCGGCCTGGTTGCTACTGGTACTCCCGCGCCTGAGGATGCTACTGCTACTTTCGGCGGCGGCTGTTGCTTTCCTACTATATCTACCGTCGGTGGCTACTTTGCCGCTGCCGGCACCCGCAGCCCGCATGGAGGAGCGTGTGGGGGCTGCCTCTCCTCTTCTGTCTGCTCCCGAACCCCCGACCATTTCCCTGTCAGCCGCCCCTTTCCGGTGGCCTTGCCCTGGAGCACTACCACGAGGAGTTCCCAAGCTTCCTGTCGCTGAGGATTCTGCTGCAGACGATGCCGCAGGCTCGAACCGCCCAGACTCGTAGGACGCGCTGCCGCTGCCGCTAGCACTCCACCCCTTAGGCGGAAAGGCACTCAGCCCGCCTTGCCGCTGCCTAACCGACGGCGGACGCGAGACGGGAGAGGAACCGCGCGGTTGTGCCGGTTCGTGGAATTCCCAAGAATGCGTGGCTGTCGTCGCCGGCATCGAGCCCAGCTTCCTGCTTTCTTCGGCCGGACTCCCCCGCCGCTGTTGCGGGCACGCCCCGCTGATGCTAGCGTTGGCCTCGCTGCTCCGTCTGAGCCTATCCATGCCGCTGTGATGACCACCATAGAGCGCCTTTCGCAGAGCGCTTGGTCGGGCATCCATCCCGGGAAGGTTCTCCGATCCATTTTGCAACTGTTGCTGTAGTCGATGACCGCTCGACCTATTTTCATTTTTCCGCAACGGTTGTGAATCGTGACTGGAAACTATCGTTGGTACCTACCATCGTTGGAGTGTAATTGTAATTGCTTGTACATACAGCTGTGGCTTGACCTGCAGGATATTGCTCGAACTGCTCTCTGCATGGACTTTATTTTCTGGTGCTTTCACTTCCAGGGACAGTTGTAAGCACTGTGTAACTGCCTCGAGGGTGCTTGACCATTTTAAGGGTACCCAGACAAGGGATTTTGACGCTGGCTCTTTTCTCACACTTCATAACAGTACAAAGAAAGAAAACGACCTTCCCGCCGGAGGAACCTGGTCCGTTGTGCTAGTATCAGTAGAGGATATCATCAAGAGGCGTCGTGCGTGCTGGCACGTTCAGGTATACTACTGGGGCTGAAATATCGAAGGTCGCAGCAGCCTCTGAAAACGGTCCGAAATCTGCGCCGGAACCAAGCGGAACCCAACACTTGTCACAGCGGTGCTCACCACCACGGACCGCAAACCCCTCAACTGCGGGTTGTCAGCAGTAGCTGGTGGCATCAGCTACTGCTGTAAACCTGCAGTTCAGAAGATTGGGTTCAGTGGCGGCGAGCACAAGCAGTACAAGACACTGGGTGTCGATCTAACTTGCGGAGATTTGCGGAGATTGTGGGCCACTACAACGACACTCGATACCACCACCACAGAAGAAGTTTTGAGCGCGCCAACACCCCCCCCCGCTGCTATAGGGTGTCCTCTAGTGATATTGGTACAATGGACCAGGTTCCTAGCAACACCGGCCTTATTTGAGCGCCTTCCGTTTGGGCTCTTTTGACTTGAACTTAGACTGGTGTGGATTTTTATCTTGGTTTCAAAGGATGCGTGTGGAGGTAGACGCGCGAAAAGCACGTTTTGAGCGGTCTCTACTGCTGCCCTGTGCCAGAATTTTGGACTTGTTTTTTTTGCGATGCCTTCCGACTGGTCTTATGTGTCTCTAGTGCATTTTCTGGCGCTCTTGCGTTTGTTTTCGAAATTAGGCAACATAGCAGGAGGTTGTCCGGGTACCCTTAAGAAATTGAGACTCGCAAAAATCAGAAGCTAAGAACTTGAGCACCATTCGTGAGCTCGGTTAAGAACCCCACACTAAAACCTATATAGCGGCCACTTGTAGCGCACAAGAGGATGACCAGCATAATAAGAACCCTAGCCTCGGCCGAAACTAGAGGTTGCGGGCTCCATCTATAGTCTATCAAGGCGTATTTGAAGTCTATCAGTGGCCATAGCCAAGCTGTTATGTAGTGACTCTACAACAACCGATCGCTGCGTTTGATCGTTGGAATGCACGGGGCGGCGCCGTTTGCAAGTGCAATACGTCGATGAAAGACAGTCAGAATAGGTCGTGCATCCCTTGCTTCATCTCCTCAACGCACCTTTTCAAAAACCCAGGGAGAGCAACAGGTTGGGTGGTCGATGCTCTTCGTCGGGTGTCCCCGCGCTCGTCTCGAATTTCCCCCCTCTCCCCCTTCTCTCCAGCGTAGGAGGTTCTTGCGAACATCCGATGCACTGCGTGTACAGTGGGAGAGAGAGGGGGCAGGTCTCTGGCGCCGTATCTGGTTTCTCTGCTTCTCAGTTTCGACGTGTCTACCCTCTTGTGAAAAATAAATACACACATAATGTATATGTTATGTAATACCCTATTGTACGTGCGGCGAAGTTGTTGTCGGTTCGATATTACACGTGGTCGGTTGCTCGGTTTCGGTTTCAGATTGCGAGAGGGAGAGGGGGGAGAGAAGAGGAGAGTGCGCCTCTCACTCCTTTCTCTCTCTCCTGCCTGATGCTGCAGATCTCGTTTACACCCCGGGCGTACCCACCACACCTTCAGGGCAGTAAGCCGAGGATGTGAGGTGAGGTTCTGATAGTCTAATTGGCCCCGCCGTGGCCCATGCTGTTTATCTTTGGATCTGCAGCAAAGCCTTGTAGCGGATGTGAGCAACACATTTAATGTAGGAGGTAAATACTACTTGATACAAGCACAACTTCTTGCGTGATATAGCACAGTCTACAAACATGCTTTTCGCGATAAATGACTTTCTGTGCGCATGAAATCACCCACTCGATCCCGTCGATTACTTCTACCTTCTCAGGGCTAACGGTGTCTTTATAATTATTGGGGGTCCATCAGATGGTAGGTTAGGCAGCACCGATCAACTCCCAACCTCTGCCCCCTGTAAGTCTACATATGTACCTGTGGACAACTTGAACACGCACATCAAATCTCGATCAGTCTCTTAGATCCTGCCAGCATGCGAGAAAGAGCTGAGGAAGGGGGGAAATACAGAAATCATGGCATGGCGAGCATACCCCGTGGACAGGTGACTTCGCCTAACCCCATACTTGCACCCAAGAACCCGACCATAGCCTGTACCAGGACCTGTACAGGACAGCTGCTGTCAATAGCATCACATTTACGCATTTTCTCAAAACGATTTTTTTTTTTCTCCCCTTGTTTAATGCTACATTTTGTATGCAAGCATACAGGTATGCTAGTATTTGTTTGCCAATTGTTCGCGATAAATAATTAATTGTCTTTTTCTGTCTTCGACGCTCGTCTTTTCGCCATATACCGTAGGGGGCACAAGATACCACACCCCGTGGACGGATTTTCAAAGTTAGATTTTTCTCGCGAAATAGCGGCATTGGAAAAGTCTTGTCGAGGGCATTTCAACAGGTGGTTTCGGCGCAGTGTTTGTCGTCGAGTAATCGCCAATCGGCCAAGGGAGCGCGGGATCTTGTGCAACTTACGGCATGTTATTTTCGGCACATTTTGGTGGAAACATTTACACTCCCAAATATTCGTATGCTTTAAAGCTTTTCGACCCTAAGGCCGAGTCTCACGTCGTCATTATTTCGTTTTTTTTGGGGGGGCGGGGTCCTTTTCTCAGCCCAAATGATTATTTGAGCGTCTTACGCGGAGGAATTCGGCCAATTCCAAACCCCCGCGAATTCCAAATCGCCGGATTCCAAATCGCCGAATATTTCCTAGGATCCCAGCTGCCGCGTTGGAAAATAGGCCCTTTTTCCAAACTGGATCGGCTGATAATTTTCAGTTTGGAATTGGGGGGGGGTCACCCCCTGGTCACACCCTGATCGTGCCAGAATGAGGAACTACACCGTCTGCTGGCCAAACAGAGGCCAGTATCATGAGGTCATGCACAAACCCTCTGCAGGTAGCTAAATTTCAGGGCGTTCTGCGTCGTGTTGGCCGCACACGAGCCGATAACGTCAACCCTGCCACATTGCTCCGCTGACGTTCTTGCCTTTGGGCCGAAAAGGGCCGTTTTTGTGCCTTCTGCATGTGTGACCAGTCAAAACGCACGCCAGAGAGAGGCTTTATTCCGTCGACATCCACAAACTGCAGCCAGTGGCGTGTGATCATATACATACCNGCTAAATTTCAGGGCGTTCTGCGTCGTGTTGGCCGCACACGAGCCGATAACGTCAACCCAGCTATATTGCTCTGCTGACGTTCTTGCCTTCGGGCCGACTAGAGCCGTTTGTGTGCCTGCTGCATGTGTGACCAGTCAAAACGCACGCCAGAGAGAGGCTATACGCCGTCCACATCCACAAACTGCAGCCAGTGGCGTGTGATCAGTTACACACCCTCTACTCGCGTCCTAGAAACAGGTCGTATTGTCCAGTTTGATTGCACACGGCCTGTAAACGTGAACCGAAGTGTGTTGCGGTGTTGACTATTTGGACTTTTTTCTTGNGAAACAGATCGTAATGTCCAGTTTTGATTGCACACGGCCTGTAAACGTGAACCGAAGTGTGTTGCGGTGTTGACTTTTCGGACTTTTTTCTTGCTCCGCCGCGTGTTTGCTCCATGTGTCACCCGCTACCAGTCCACAACGCATGCCAGAGGGAGGCTTTCGACCGATGACATCCACAAAGTACGGCCAATGGCGTGTGGTCATACACATGCGCTCTGCTCGCGTCCCAGAAGCACAGAGTACAGTCCAGTTTTGAGTGCCACGGCCTGTAAACGTGAACCGAAGTGTGTTGCGATGTTGACTTTTTCGGACGTTTCCTTTTTTTTTCTGGTTGCTCCGAGCGTGATCAGTCCACAACGCATGCCAGAGAGAGGCCTTTGGCGGACGACATCCACAAACTGCAGTCACTGGCATGCGATTATACACATGCCCTCTGGAGGCGACCCGAAACAGGGCACTCGGTGTCTTGTTGGTCGCACACTAGCCAAAACCGTGAACTGAAGCATGTTGCGACCCGCGAAGACTTGACTCGGCCCATTTCTTCCCCTGAGAAAAAAAATTGTCTCGAGGGACCGTAAGAAGGTCCTTTGGATCCAGATTTTCCCTTGCAGACCACCCCCCCTCGACCGAGAGTAAAAAAATTCCCGAAATAAACACGACGTAAGACTCGGCCTATAAGCATAACGGCGTAAATCGACATTACATTTCGACGTGACACAAGCACAGCAGCCCCCCTTGTCCACAACAATCAACCGCGCTCGTCCGCCAATCCAGCTTGCACACCTTAAGGTCATCGACTACCTATCTATGCGATGGAAGCACGGGAGAAACAGGCAGCGGAAGACCGGAGCAAGGAGACCATCGCTGCCGTCGCCGAGGGCACGGGCATCGATGACTTCGACGATTTCGACTCCTTTCTCGAGACCGCGCTCTCTGACTGCGATGAACCCGGCACGGCGGCTGTCGCGCAAGCAGCAGTAAAACCTAACAGAAGCAACCCCGAGAAGGCCCTCGACCAGCAGGATGCAAAGGGTCAAGAAGGAGTGAATGGGTACGACCCTAAAGGCTTTGCACCGGGCAGCGGAGGGATTGTCAACTTACCATTGACGGCAGCTGATATGGAAAGCACTTGCACTTCAGGTACGCCTCCCAGTTTACGCTGTGGTTGTGCTTTATGGTCCCTCTACTTGC